TGTGTTATGGCAAACACTGAACTCATTTGGGTTGAGCGCTGGTTTGATACAGGCATTAAGGTCTCTTTATAGGAACTCTAGTGCTTGTGTCAGGATCAATGGGGTCTACTCGGACTGGTTTGGCATCCAAAAAAGGTGTCAGACAGGGCTGTGTAGCTTCCCCTTGGCTGTTCAACCTATTTATGGACAGGTTGTTTGCAAACTTTGAAAGATGAAGAATGTGGGTTAACAATGGGCGAGTTAACCGTCAAATGCCTTTTGTATGCCGATGATCAAGTCATATTTGCGTCATCGGCGGCTGAGTTGCAAATGATGTTTACATTAATGAACTGGGAATTAAAAGAAAGGGGAATGAAAGTGAACGCAAGTAAGACGAAAGTGATGGTTTTTGAAAGAGAAGAAAGCAAAACGGTATGTGAAATAAGAATAGAAGGAGAGTTAATTGAGCAAGTGGATGAGTTTGTGTATTTGGGATGTGTATTTAGCAGGGATGGTAGATATGATAGGGATATAGAACGACGAGTAAATGCAGGGAATAGAGTGAATGGGGCACTACACTCTATTATGAAGAACCAGAATTTGTCAAAAAAGGCACGTATGGTAATTCATAATGCTGTGTTAGTCCCTACTTTAATGTATGGTAGTGAAAGCTGGGAGTGGCAGAAGAAGCACGAAAGTAGAATAAATGCTGTAGAAATGCGGTCTTTAAGGAGTATGCTAGGGTTGAATCTGAATGACAGGGTGAGAAATTGCGTGATAAGAGATAAATGTGGTATGCAAGATGATGTTGTGACCAGGATTAAGAAAGGAATGCTTCGGTGGTTTGGTCATGTAGAAAGAATGAATGAGTAAAGAGTGACAAAGCAAATTTATATGGCAGATGTGATACGGCCGAGTCGGGAAGGGACGCCCTAGAAAAAAGTTTATCGACCAAATTGGCGATATTATGAAAAAGGGGCCACGTTAGAAGTACCCTTAACCGACGAGCATGTATGCGTAGATATATGGATGTAAAGGAGGCGAAAGAGCTATGTCAGGATCGTGCCAAATGGAAGTCCGTAGTCTCTGCCTACCCCTCTGGGTGACAGGCGTGAGTGTTTATGTATGTTATGTATGTTTTTAATATATATATATATATATAATTGTAAGGAACTCTCGGTGTTTCATTTAAGTTTTTATCTATTTTAGGTTAGTAAATAAGTGGTACCCTACTGGTTTCCGACTGTCAGTTATTCAGTTATGATGTAATGCCCTGCATACCTTTTTTAATACAATTTTGGTAGTTGGTTATTTTATACAACCTACTCATTATAGGTAGCGAGCACTAAAAGGAATAGCTCCCTTTTTATAACAGCTCCAGTGTTATGTGATCACAAGTTTATTAATCGTTTATTTTTAACACTTTTTGTTATTGGTTTGAATGGAGCCTTTTATTTATATTGTTGATTTATTTATAAGATTCTCTCCCACTTATGACATTTTACTTCACACAGGAGCATATTATTTTTAAACGTATTTCATTAGTTTTTAAGCAGACCGTACACACAAGCCTTGGTTTTTTTATTGTAGAATCGCAGTCGGTTAAGTTAGAAATACTCATAGGATGAAATAAGAATTTAAAATGAAATAATTGCTGTATATTGAATGATGGATACAAATCAGTTAATCGAAAAAAAAATCGTAGGTTGACCCTTAATTGGAAAAATCCTTTTTCGAAAGTGAAAAAGAAAATGACGACGAGAATTTACCTACGGTGATTTTTGAGCACTCAACGCTCTCAGCCATTTAATCTGCCCCGCCTGCGTTGCAAAAATGCCTCCTGCTGCAGTATTGTCGTTCCACAGCGCAATTTAGGGAAATAAGTCTTTTCCATCTCGATTCTGCTTTCAAAAAACAAAGTTGCTTCGCATCTTTTTCACTCTGAATCTTTAAAAAAAACCTTTTTTTCAGATAATATGTATAGATTAAAACTAATTTCACTGCTTTTATCGCGTTTAATACTGCTTATTTTTAATTCCCGACTTTTGAATTTATATAAATTCATTAGATAATAATACGTAGTCATCCTTACAGTACGGGCGAATACCAATAAATTAATTGAAATCATATACCAGATTCTCGTTTGTCATATTTTGGCGGTGCAAGAGAACCCATTACACCACATCATCATAAGAGGCGACTTAGTCGGTTTAGGGTAATTATGGCAAATATTAATAAGGCAATCTATGGGGGAGGCTTATGCTCAGCAGCGTACTTTTGATAGACTGTAGTGAATGATGAATGAAAACAAATACCCTATGCAATTAAATAAGTTATCCACGCCATTACTACTACTACTACTGAATATCAGCGTAACTTTAGCAGCTTAATGCAGCTGTGTTTCGTATGGTGAGTGTTTCTCTACATGACCGGAGACCTGTTTTACAGGAATCAAGGCATTCCATCTTAGTCCTCATGGGTGACAACGCATATGCATTTTGATACTTAATCGAGGTTAAATGTAGATGTCTATGGACCACAGCATCCTCTTATCAGGTAGACTGTGCGCTCATTTGTCACCCTTATTCTATTTTTAAAAAAACTATAATCCTGTCATGCATAGATGGTCAATCTTCGTTCATGGAGACTGGCTTGCGTGATTGAAATTCGGTCTGGCTGACATAAATAAATTATAGACAAAACCTATAAGTACTTCTACTTTACAGATATAAAATCTGTTTGTATGTCTCTGGAACCGCTAAACCGATTCTAAAATTTCTTTCACCAACAGAAACGTAGGTAATATAATGCCTGTGTACGTAGATCACTCAATAAATTTTGATATGCTCGAAATTTAAAAATAGAACGCACTCGTGTTATATGTGTCTAATAAGCAAATTTATTTAAAAATAGAAACCATCCATACGCCAATTGCTCAATTAAAAAAAAAAACAAAGTTCTATTAATTTTCCTGCAACGCTACCCGCGCTTTTCATTTAAAATCATAGATCTTAACCGTGAACATTTGCACGCTATGATCTATTTTGATTTTAAATTTGGTTTAACCGAACAATTAAGTTTACAACGGTTACAATCAGCATTAGGGGACTCAGCTCCATCACGCGCAACAATTTTTAGTTGGTTTGCTGAGTTTAAAAGGGGTAAAATTAACCTTAAAGATGACCAAAGAACCGGGGCCCCGCAAACAGCAGTAACGGCAGAAAATGTATGGTAAACCCTAATATATCCCCCTTAAAAAAGCTTTATCTTATCTAAGTCACCCACCCTACAGCCCTGACTTAGCTCCTTGTGAATTCTTTTTGTTCCCAAGAGTCAAAGAAAAAATAAAAGGCAAAGTTTTTTCAAGCGCCGAAGAAGCCGTGGCTGCCTACGAAGAAGCGATTTCCGACCGTCAGATCAAGACTAGCAAAATTGTTTTCAGAGTTGATTTAGGCGAATGGAAATAGAGCATGATGGAGAATATTTTGAAAAGATGTAAAATAAATATTAATAGTATCTAGAATACTTTTTGTATATCTCAAAACTTATTGAGTGTCCTGTCCTACGTAGTTTGTGTTATTTTGATAAAAAATATTTCAGTCTTAACCTTAATATTTGTAAATCAAGTAATCGGGGTGCCCTGAACAAATGTTGTGTGAAAAAGATGTTCTACTCCAAAATGATATCATCTGTAAATCTAAAAAATTTTACGACACGATATGGCTAGTTTATATATATATATATATACATATATATTAAAAAGGTTTATATTCTTAATGTCATGAAAGAATCTTTACAACATGTAGGAAGTTTTATGAAGATAAAACAAAACATTTTTGAACAAATTTCAATTTCATAGTCGCATATATAAGAATATCATGAGTTTAAACTTTAAAATAAAATTTAAAAACCGATTTCAAAGAAATGAAACAAATAAAATAATTTCCATATACTAATTAGTTCTGAATCATCATTATTCGCCAGTACAGCCTATATAAATGTCCACTTTTACTAGATTTTGCCATAGTTGCCATGCTTGGCAGGCGAATTGGCAACCGCAGCGCCTAAAATTTTTGGGTTGTAATCAGGAAGATGGCACTGCCAATCACCTATTTTAGTTTCTCTTTGTCGCCTGTTACGACAACCACGGGACAATATGTTGTAATGGATATTCTGACACCGCCAATACACGGTTTTCATTGCTAAGACATAATGTATCAAATGAATTAAAGCCTCAGACTTCAAAATTTCCTGTCTCATTTGAGTTAACCTTTAACTGCCGACCTGGTCTAAACGTAGCACTTACGCCGACGTGACGACAGAGATACGTCAAACTTTAAGTACTGAAATAAAATATGTATTTGCGTGTCACATTTTTCTATTTTATACATTAAAAATATTGGTGTTTGAGGTAACAAACTACAGAATTAAAAAAAATACACGCTATTTTTCAAGCAAAATCAACATTTATTCGAATGATCACAATTATTTGGCACTTAATTTTAAGGACTTACTTCAGTCTCGTTTTTCTCTAAAATTAAATAATTAACAACAAATGAACTTCTATAAACTATTATCAAATTAAAACATAAATCTTACTTCTTAGTTAAAAAATAAAAATAATGACAGCCCTCGAATATTTGGTACATTCACTACGTACGTTTGCAGTCAATGCATATTTGTAGGCAGAATTTGTTTTATTTTGGATTACTGATGTATAAAACAATAGCCCTATTAAGCCTTTATTTCTGTCTCATTCGTTGAGCCTAGTTCAGATCTGCTACTCTCTTTACACTTAGCCCTATAGCTAACTAGTTTCTTGTTTGTATAAGTTACTATCATTTCAATCATGTGATCACTAAACATCAGTTTCCATAATTCCGTGAAAGATTCAAATTCAATCGGAATTACTTGAGATGGTGCATTGACAATATTGTGCGCGCGCATTCGACTTCGGGATGGTTCCGCCAAAGCCCATTTGTACCTATTCTTCCTGTAAAAGTAGCGCGGCAGCTCTCCTGTTAATTCTTCATTTGGCTCCTGGTCTGTTCTAAGATCTTCACTACCCTGGTCATTTCGCGTCTATACTTCACTATACTGCTCCTCTCCGATCTCTTCAATTCTAGTCTCTGCTGCGCCATGCTGTTCCTCTCTGACCATTGTCTCTTCTTCGATCTGTTGTGTAATGTCCTTTCTTCCATGAGATCATACTTCTCTTTCTTGTTCTTCATTGTCGTGATTATGGTTAATTTCTCCGTGTTAAACTTCCTCAACATGGGGATACGCGACCTCAACATCATCCTCATCGGATTGTTCGGATTCCGAGTTGTGATCACTCTCTAAAATAAAATCAGGATCACCTAAATTGTCGTCAAAATCACTTCAGTTGACGTCACTCTCGTTTATGAAAATTTTACATGTCTCTATCTTCTAAACGCCTATTCTGTTTTTGCAGTTTCGGCGGCTTCTCGGGAATATCGTTGCAGGTTTTTTTCCGCTCACTAGACGTGATATTTCTCCTTTTAGGCATTCTGAAATTAAAAGGATAATTTTAAAGCCGATGTGACGTCAATCAGACACTATAAGCTACCACATCTGAATACCGAGGTGGACCAAGAGACTTACGAAATTTAGTACAAAAACACCATACTTAGTCTGTGAGACGTCGATCGCTTCAATACGGAGACGTGTGCACTCGCCGAGGGCGCAGCGTCCACTGATGGCTTGTGACGCGGAGGGAGGAAGGTATCTGGAAGGGCGACGCTGAAGGTGGCGTGATTTTAGAAATATTTCAATATTAAAAGTTATGACGTCTGTGAGACGTATAGGTCGGTAGTTAAAAAGGTTAATCCAGAACGTCGTCTAAATAGAGTGATATTTAAAAATCTATTCAAATGTTCTGTAGACAAATTGTGTCTAAGATCGCTTTATACATTTTTATAAGCGGAAAAGGAGAACTCTACGTCCATTGAGGTGACTGGACAGAATTTAAATTTGGAGTAATTGTGCCGGGCAAAATTTCACCCGACCCGTAGATGAAGCTATCAGTTTGGCATAAAAGTATAAACCCTGGGTTATGGCTCAGTATGTTTTGAAACTTTTCTTTCAGTTTACTCAGGAATAGTTCTAGCAACGAGGAGTTCATAAGACGAATTTTCTTCCTAAGCTGAATAGACGCATTTCGGTTTCAAGCGTTTTAATACTCGTGTGGGCGAAATGAGTGTTTATCGCAGCTAGTAGATCGACCGAAATATGCATAACTTCAAAAATTTTGCTAAAATATGCAACTATCGCTGAAAAGGGGCTAAATATGCAAATGCATCTGCAATATACAAATGAATTATCAATAAGCAAATGCATATAATCCGGTCTCTAGTTATGACCCATGGACACGTACGTGTATTAAGGAATCAAAATGTACATGCGTTAACACCCCTGAGACTGACATTAGAATGGCTCAATTGCTTTTAGAATACGAAACAAAGTTGCACTATAAATTATCCACCGAGGTATTGTGCGAGCGTGATCTTTCCCCTATCGAGTCAATCTATTCATGCTGCAGCTATCGTAAGATGAATCGTTACTCTGGCTCACGAGGTGACCAACATTTATAGGCTGGTTTGCCGACTGAAATTATACCTATAATCGTTTCTGTGAACAGGCTAATCCCGGTCACACTAGCGGTTCATCTAAGGCGACTGGGACTCCGTGACGGACCGCTCCGGGCTCAAACGAAGTGGCGGTGCTATATACCGCCCGCATTGTCCGCCGGCTCCCGTTGTCCCTTTTTATTAATTTATATATTTTTTATTTTTTTTATTTTATAAATATTTATGTATATATGTACTTATATCATTTTCATTTATATATTCATACAGCCCAACCAGATGAGAAAACTATAAATACCGCATAATAATAATAAAGTTAATCGTTTTCGTCTCAAATTTAGTAATTAACATAAACACAACTTCATATTAAAATGCTACAATCAATTTTTGAGAGACTGGTATTAGGATTCCCTGCTTGACAGATCACCATTCTTCAATACAGCTCGTATTGAAGAATCGATTGAGCGAAACCAGGGCTCCAGGCCCGAAGGGAACCAGGGCCCGAGATCTGTCTGCCAAAAAAGCCAACTGTCAAAGCTGAAGACCGAATATGGCAGCATCTTTTCCAGAACACCTGAGATTTTGAGTGAGATTGATAGGTTCTATGTGCAGCTGTACACGTCATCGTTGGAGCTACACGCAAGAGTGAGTAACGATCCAAGAGCAAGTCTTATCCGACACTATTCCGATATCCCGGATGTCAGTCTGAGCGAGATGAGAATGGCTCTCCAGCACCTTAAAAACAGCAAGTCCCCGGGCGAGGACGGAATTACAGCGGAGTTTCTGAAAGCGGGTGGAAAACAGGTAATTAAAGTCCTTCAGAAACACTTTAATTCCGTCCTGCTGTTGGCATTACTCCGGAGGCATGGAGCAGAAGTGCGGTGTTCTTGTTCTTCAAGATAGGCGACAACGCTCTCTTGGAGAACTACAAACTGATTTCCCTTTTGAGCCGCATCTACGTACTGTTTTTGAATGTCATTGCGAATCATGTTGAACGCACACTCAACGACTTCCAGCCTCCCGAATAAACCAGTTTCCGAAAAGGCTTTAGCACCATAGATCACATACTAGGCACACCCTACTTAGGCAAATTGTACAGAAGACCGAAGTATGGCCTCCAAATCTTCCTTACCGATATTATTCTTAAACAGACAATCCTCGATACTGCAGATAATTTCTTCGTACGGGATTTTTCACGGTGTTAATGCGAAGTTCATTCCCTTCGCTAATACTTTCATTGTCGGTTCGTCCAGTGTATGTTTTGACAAATTGTAGACCGTGCGTTGTTTATAGTTTGAGTCTATGGTCAACGGTTGTGTATCGTTCTGGCGTTGACTTGGACGTTTGGCATTTGATTTGATCGTTAATTTTTGGTATTTTTCTATTTGTTTATTTTTGCATTCATTGTATTTCGAGGTTTCCCGTTTGTTTAAAGTTTCGATGAAATTATAAAATGTCGTTAAAATTGTCTTTAGTTCACTGGACAAATTGTCTAATGTGTTATTTATGAAACTTAAATCGAACTCTACGTTTAACTACTGAACTAATCGTTTCTGCTGAATCACCGTTCGTAACAACTTTTTACTTGTCTTCTTTTCTTCTGAGTATTCTTTCTCTTGTGATTTAAGATCTTAGCGCTTCCTCGAATGTCTTTCTTTGTTGATATTTTGACACACATAGGAATGAGATTATGGTCTATGCATCTCTTCAAAAAATTTAAAGATGTTATATATCTTGCGCGCTTGGTTTTAAGATCTCTGAATTTTATTTGCTATATTACCAGTCCGTACTGGTTCACATAATGATTTCTTAAATTTACGCGAACACTACACATTGAATAAAACTATAATTTACAGATTTTATCGCGTTTAATTACTTTAATTTGTTTTTACTATCCCGACGTTTCGGGTGCTTTACAGCACCCATGGTCACATGGGGGACTGAGATGTTTGACGTCCCAATGTCATACTTAGTCCGGCTACCTTCAGTTTTTGAATATTAATTTTTGGTCCGATTTACGTAAAACGAGCTTATAGTATCATGAAGTCTTGCAGTGGTATGCTTGGGTTTGGGTTTAATTTTGTTAATTATAGGATCCCAAGCTGCTGGCAGCACCCATCCATCTTCTCTATTGAAATTTGGATGTTTTTTTTAATTTCAATAGCCTCGCGTATCATCCTTGGTAGGAATCGGTGTTCTTTTGCGAGGATTTGTGGTTTATCAAATCGAATGTGGGGACGATCTTGAACATGTTCGCAGACTGCAGACTTCCCGGAGCGTCGGTGTTTCACGTCAGCTATATGTTCCTTCACACGGGTTTTTTTATAGATCGAGGTCGAGGATTGTCTGTTTAAGAATAATATCGGTAAGGAAGATTTGGAGGCCATACGTCAAGATATTTCGTCCTTGTTACGTCGTAGTTCAGTGCCGAAACCAAACCTTCCTAAAGACGTATTTACAGCGCTGAATAACTTACGGAACAGATCGGAGCTCACGATTCTCCGCGCGGATAAAGGAAATGCTACGGTGATAACGGATACGTCGGAATATAGATTTAAAATACAACAACTTTTATCGGACGAAAGTACGTATAAAAAGGTCAAAACAGACCCCACAACTAACACGCTTAAAACAACTAGCGAATTAATAAAGAAATATTCCGAAAAATTAAATCTCGGCGTGAATTCGCTAATACCATCATGCACCAAACCACCGAGGTTGTATGGGTTACCGAAGATACACAAACCAAACGCTCCACTACGTCCCATAGTGAGCCAGATCGATTCACCAACTTATAAGCTGGCACTATACTTAGCAAAAATACTATCACCACTGAGAGGACATACCAGAGCACACACAACGAATTCATATCATTTTGTGAGTGAGATAAAAGACCTACATCTAGCTGACAATGAAACTATGGTCAGTTTTGATGTTAAGTCACTATTTACATGCCTACCTATTGTTGACTGCATTTCAATTGTAACTAGGAAACTGGAAGAAAATAACATGCCTCAAGAATATGCAATATTACTTGAACACTGCCTCACATCTGGCTATCTATTGTGGAAGGAGGAGTTCTACAAGCAAGTAGATGGTGTGGTGATTGACTCACCTGTGTCTCCCATAGTTGCCGACATATTCATGGAGGACTTTGAGGAGAAAGCCCTTCTTACTGCTCCTGTAAATCCAAGGTTCTACAAGCGGTACGTAGACGACACTTTCACAGTTTTACCATCTGACAAAGTAACTGCATTTTAGACCACCTTAACTCCATAAATTCTAAAATACAATTCACAATGGAGTTAGAGGCAAATAATTCTTTAGCCTTCCTAGATGTTTTTGTTTTCCTAGATGTTGTCATCCGGAATCCTGATAACACTATTGGTCACACTGTGTATAGGAAAAAGACCCATACCAACCGATATCTAAATGGTGAATCTCACCATCATCCTGTACGAGTACAGAACCAAAGTATGAAACCAGTGGCGAAGCCCCCTAACTGAATCAATCAATAATATCAATAATTAATATCAACTAATAACATAACTCGTAAAATGTTTCAAGCTATTTCAAATTTCCCGCGCACTCCACTGTTCGACACATGTCGACCGATGACCTCGTATTGCCTTAGCGATACTGCTGCGGTCATAAAAATGAGTTTTAATAGAGCTAATAGTTGTCTCCCTCGCTCGCGT